CTTATGTTTTTTGTTTCACGTCACCTCTGCCTTTTACTTTGACTGACGTCACTTCCACCCATGCTGACGTCATCAGGTACCACCCGCAGCTGAAGAAGTGGGTCGAGCTGGGGAACAGCGGGATGTTCCGGCCCGAGATGCTGCAGCCAATGGGCCTTCCCCCGGACGTCAACGTCATTGCGTGGGGCTTTGGCCTTGAAAGGTGAGCAACAAAGATTCTGGCATTGTTTGCTTGAACCGACAGTCGCTCAAACCAAGATCTGAGTGACTGAAACCACTGCACGAAATACTGAAGCGCTCCGTACCCGAATCCACCCTGACCATCAAACCAACCCCTCCTGTTCCCCGGGGGCCTTTCTTTGCTTACCTTCTTGATACTAAGTAGACGCACTCAAGCATGCCAGATACGCTTTTTCCAGAATCAATCTTAGTTCAAGCGCCTGTTGGATCACCGGAACGGTGTCAGACTGCAATAAAGCCCGCAAAGCACGTGCAATGCTGGCCGGATTTAGCGTTGCTGCGAGGAGGCGGCACAGGGTTTACTGACTTGCTTTGGGCAGTCAACGGCCGCTTGCAAATTGAAGTTGCCCAGTAAGCGCCTCCTTGTAACGTACTCATATGGATCCGGTAAGATTGCAGTTTTGATTTTAGTGAGCTTGCTTCCTCACGACCATATCCGACTAATTCAAAGTACGTGCATATGGCCAACGAGTGCTGCTCCTTACGACCAACTCTGAAATCTGTTACTGCAACTTCGAACTCCTTCACCCGCAGGTTACTCCAAGGCACAGTGAATTGGAAGTTCATGAAAGCTCTGTTTTCTTTCGATATTCGTCGGCCTGTATGATCCAAAGGGTATGCTGCCAGACTCGTAAAACCGTACTGCCTAAGTTGACGCTCAAGTGCATCTCCTCTGGCAGGCCGACCATGATCCTCTACAACATCGACAACATCCGGGACCTTTTCGGACATAAGGTGAGAGGCATGATTCTGCAGATTTCTACTTCGAACTTCATATCTGAACGTACTCATCACTGTCACTCTCTTTCGCTACTTCAAAATTAGCAGAAACTAAATGGTTGGTGCCTTTGATCACTTGTGTCCCCCCTCGTGTGCGGAAGAATGAAGACGGGTTTACATTGCTCTACTTAGTGAGTAGTCCCGCATGATCCTTTTCGGCTGTTCGTAAGCTCAGGTGCCTCTGCGAACCAGTCCAACATAGTTTGACAGCAGGTGTCAACATTTAAGCAAGTTTGGCATCTCGTGTTTGTCTATCCTGAAAGTGGGCGTAGGACATGCATGTCCACTTTCCCCGATCTATAGCGCAGAGAGTCCAAAATTGCCGTACTTCCGATCTGGTCCGTCCAAAAAGAGACGCAGACTCACTAGTTTGCATTTCTCGAGCTTTCAAATCCGACGCCCACTTTAAATTGGAAAGCGAAGAAAGCAGACAATCGAGAGGTAAACGTGCAGCTTTTTTCTGTAACGGCTTCTCAATTGGTGGAGTCTTCGTAAGAAGAACGGCTCTTGACTTTCAAGGTCAGCGTAGATCTTTCGAAGGTTGTATCTGGTGGCGAGATTAAAAGTCCTCTCTTAGATGCCGCACATCAGCTTTTTTGAAGTCAACGGAGAAGCAGTTTTAGTGGAAGGTTCAAAACGCTGAACTGTCATCTCTGCAATCTACCCAAAGTCTTGAAGGACACGAGCGTTCAATATCTCCGCAAGCTTCTGGTATCATTCCGTTTGTACCCTTTTGGTACTAACGGTTTGCCTCTGGTTACAGGTAAACCTGAACGTGATCCGCTCCAATCCAATCTGCCGGTTAGGCTACTAGTATTGCGGCTTCTAAGGGAGATAAGCCGGGGTCAGGAAAGAAGGGTTGTCTATGCTGAATCAGGAGCAGAACGACAGAGTCTTATGCTACTGCTGAAGCTACAAGTTTCGCTACGAGGTGTCTCAGAATGCCATGCGCAGCCGTCGAGAGCTTGCCGAGTTCAGGGTTTCACTGGCGGTAGGCAATAAACCAGGACCGACGAGTCTTGCAAAGGTCAATGCATTGGTACGTGCTCGTCGGCTTGGAGTGTACGGCTGTTCAAAGATCGATCAATCGGACTCACCTTCGTTTGAAGGCCAATGAAAGTCGGCCATTGTTTGTTTCAATGCGCATGCGGCTCCAATGCGAGCATGTCACCACACAGGGTACTAAGTAAGTATGTTCCGAGGTTCAATGGATATTGGCTCAGTTGAAGATTGGGCGAGGAAAAGCCTGGCAGTGATGCTGGCCTAGTCTGGCACTAGTAATGATTGTATATTATGGTCGAATTAACAAACGGTGCGTTGTGGTGATCATCTTGGGTCCAAAGTCCAACAGTTACGGCAATCGTGTAAGGCCACTGCAGCTCAATCACCCTACGTACCAGGGCGGTATTGTTGATCAGCTTATGTCCGCGCGACGGCGAGCAATGATGCATGACGTGAAGCTCGTTCTTCGATTGCCGGTGATGGAAAGCTCAATATCGAGCAGTACGCGGTCTTGGCGGCGTCCGCATGCATCTTCGGCCCAGCCATTCTTTTCTAGTAGGCTGTGCATATCTTAAAATGATGACCCTCTTAGTACGGATGTAACCGGCCGGACGGTTGCCTGGCAATATGTACATGGATCTATGTACATAGATAGCTGGATTCAGCAATATCTTAATGCAAAGTCGATTATAAGGTACTACCGTACCAACAGGCTTTGAACATGCAAGAACTCATGAGGATCCAAGCGCATATATCACTCAGATTGATGACTGGCGCTAGATATGTGCAGTGTCGGGCCGGGAGGCGGGCACGCCTGGCATTACGCACTCTTTAGATTAACAATTGGAAGTCAGCTATAGGTACATAATTCTGCGACGGTGACGTTTATGCAACGCTCGACGGTCATGGTCTATACATATACGGTATCTTGTTATGCAAATTTGAATGATCATCAGTGGTAAGTTCTTTTGAGTGTGCGACGGTCTTTGGCTTCGCACATAATCGGACTACCTACTACTAGCCTCGTGCGCACTGAGCTTGTTTTTTGAAATTTGAAGGCCTCAGTATACTTCAATGGTAATGGTACTAAAAAGTTGATACAATAGGACGTCACACTCAGCTTCGCCGGCACGGCCGCTCGCGGGTCAATCGCTGAGTCCATCGGAGCTAGTCCCGGGCCCGTCAGATGATCGCCAGCGGCGGCCGGCCAGCCTACCGTGAACTTGTCTCGATTTCATGTTGACAAATTGGGAGGGCGCCCGGGGGACAGGTAAGGTTGGTTTGGAGGTTAGGGAGGGTACGAGTGAGGAGCTTGTCAATTTTGGGTTAAAATGTTTTAGCTTTGTTTGGTCCCCGAGCACTGTTCTTAATCAACATGCTCTTCTCAAAATGAAATTGAGAAGTACCGGTACGTGTCTACCGTGACCATGACGGCCGACTCCCGACTCCCGAGTCCCGACGCTCGGAACAAATTCAAAGGACCAGACCGGCGGCGGCGGGTATCTCTCGATGTAGTGATGATTGATCAGTAAGCCCAGTGAACAGTAATCATTTTGGGGCTACTAAAATTCCTAACCCAAAGGATCACCCGCTCCGCACCCGTACCCACCCTAACCCCCTAGCTAACCCTACCCGTCTCCGTTAGTGTTCACTGGCTGTTGCTGTTCACTACATCGATCGGGATCGGCGGGAGACCGATCGGGATCAGTGCTAAGTAATCATTGAGATGTTGATACAACAATTACCATGACAAAACCGCTAATCACGCCGCGGCGAGCGGATCAGGCCTGCGGAGCCGCTACTGCCCTTTCGGTACGCCGTACGCTACGGTTGTTCGTCGTTTAACTGCTCTGTCGGAATTCGAGTCAGGATTCAGGATATGGTCAGGTCCGCTAGGACTCAGGACATGTTTAACTTCAACCTTCTGTGGGATAGGAGTCAGGACACCAGTTTTCTGGCGTTGTCGAAAACGACAAAGAACCTTTCGATGGCAACAGCCTTCGATGCGAAATGTCGGATGTGTCAGCACTCAGGAGTCAGGACTCTGCAGCGCCGTCCAGGCTCCTCCGCCGCCGGTCCTACCGTAGCCTGTAGGGCAAAATCGCCTTCCGGCTGTGCAGTGTGCAGTGTGCAGTGTGCATCAAATGCATTTGATGCCGGAATCTGGAGATTCAGGTACTGTACCTACGTCCCTATTTAATGTACCGTAATAAACCGTATACCGGTACGGTAATGTTTCACAAGCATATTCAGGCCCTTAATTTTTAATTTCAGGGTACGTACTACCCGGTATGGGACCCGGCCCCCGGGTACAGTGAAAACAATCTGAAGTACCGGTACGTACCTACTTCGAAAATTTGTCGGATGTCCATCCGACGATTTCCAATCTGTGGCTTTCAGCGGCGGCAGCATTCAGCCTTCAAAGTTCAGGCCACGATCCAACAGATCCTGACATGGCAACATGTATGGTATCATCATGGCAACATGCTTCGGTAGCTGTGCGTCCCATACCAGTCCCTTCACGAATCTGTCAGCTGGGTCCTGATCACTAGTGCCAGCTCAGTACCTAGTATACCTAGATGTGATTGCACTGATTCCAATGTACCGGCACCGTAGCTTCTGCCCATCTCCTCAAAAGGAGCTCAAGATCGCCCTACTTTTCATAATTTCTGTATCGTTCTTCTTTGCTTCCTTTACGGCCTCTTTACGGCCCATCCCTCAGGTTCTCAATGGCGGCGAGTCAGCTCCTCACCTCCGCCCTCCTGGCCCTCTGCCTCGTATCCGCCGCTGTTGCTACCCGTGACATCATCACCGATGCAGTCGACTCACAGGGCTCTCAAACGGTCCCTGTAGCTGTCTTCAACGAGGCATTGCACTCGTTTGAGTTCTTCAATGAGACTGTGGAGGCGCCCCGCAGGAAGGCTCTGGGCCTTGGTCAAAGCGCACGGGTCACGGTGACCTTCTACAACCAGCCCGGCATGGATTGCGAAACAGGTAAGCCTTCTGCTCTGAAGCCTAACTCAGGCTTCATCAATCTGTAGCTGATCAGTATACATGGTGTATATTGATTAGCTGCTTGCATAGGTCTGCCTCTGATGCTGCCAGGACTGCACAGATTGGTAACATATGTTGGTTCATTAAGAAAAGTAGGAGTGTGCAGGATTGGAGGGGGGTCTCAAAATGAATGTCCCAGCTCAATGAGACCAGAATGTAGCTGTCGAGGAGCTTGATCATTCTTCCCTCAGGCTTGAGCACAATGCATCTGCTTCCAGTATGTCCTCTTGTTTGTAGATCTTACATCTTGCCCAGTACGATCCGCCATACGTCCGTGTATAGATGCTGTCATTGGACTACTTGAATCAGTTCTTGCATTGGGCGGGTGAAGACTTGCTGCCACCGAATGAAACGTATTGTCCCATTGTGTGCTGCCTGCTTGATCAGGCTGCAAAGGTTGAACCAGCTTGCATTGTGCCTTCCATGCTGCTGTATTGTTAGTAATGGATCAAAGTCTCTTGCCCTTTTCAGGCAATGGGCAGTGCGGGTACGGCAATGACGTCACCGGCGACGCCTACGGAAATGGCGGTCCTTTCCTGGAGACATCTCTCTGTAAGTTGAAATTCCAATACGGCTCTTATATCATCTGCCTCGCACTGATTGCTCCTATATTCAATCGGATCTGCTAAGTGCTCAACATAAGCTGCCCAATACTAGCTTCTCTGGTTTTCAAATTGAGGGAAGACAGGGGTCAGCTGCCTCTCAGGCACTTTCTATGTAAGCTGCTGACGCCTCTGAGCTGTCTGTAGACACCAATTAAAAGAATGCAAGATCGTGTGGTGGCCTTTTAAGCATGTGCCCTCATTAGATACTGGCAGCACGGATTGACCCAGCCTACTTGTATAGGCTATCTATGCATAGATTTGACGATGGCACAGATCCCTATGAGCAATCAGTCTATGCACACCTCAACATCTTTCCAGTGGCTTGCATCTCTCGGATATCCAGTAGAATACAGGGCTCACAAAAAGCTTGACTCTGAGAATGGAGAACCTTAAAAACCTTGCTAAATCTGAATCAATCAGTGCCTCCACGCGTGCAGACCCGTACCACGCTGCATCCGGCAACTACGACTACCTCGGCGGCTGCGGATCGTGCGGCGTCCTCAGCTACAACGGCAAGTCACGTGGCTTCGTTATCACTGACATCACCGATGACGACTCCCAGCAGGGCAGGGATCACCACATCGACCTGTGCCTTGGGTCCTTCAACTACTTCACTAACGGCGCTGCGGGAAACGGTGGTCACGGGGGTATCTTCTCGGGCACGTGGACCAGAGTGGACTGCTCGTGCATGGGCGCACCCAGTAAGACACCGTAGCCTGGCTACTGCTTACAAGACTTTACTGAGTATCACTAAGATCTTTCCTTCAGTCTTCCAAGTTCACTAAGGTCTTTCTTCTGAGTCTTCTAATCCTACTGAGGTCTTTTCTTCTAAGTCTACTCAGGCCTTCTCTTCTAAGTCCTCTGAGTCTCACTAAGGCCTTTTCTTCCGAGTCTTCCAAGTCTACTACAGTCTTTTCTTCGAAGTCTACCATGTTTTACTAAGGTCTTGTCTTGAGAGTCATTCAAGTCTACTAGGTCTTACTAAGGCCCTTTCTTGCCTGCAAAACTCGACGAATCTCTTTGCGGCAGGACTGGCCTCGCACGCCCTCACTACTCCCCTTGACGAAGCTTCAAGCTGTTTCAGGATCTCTTGAGTACCTCTCCCAGTTGCCCGCATAGCTGGAATCTTCTTGCGCAGATTAGCGTCATGTTGTCATATGTCGTCATACGGAACAAATCACCCCCTCACCTTGTTCTCGACCCCAGGTTGTAAATCACTATCAACCGAAACCTCCTCTCTTTCAGATCAGCGCTGGACTAGATCCTCACTGCCATTAATGTTCAAAGTTACTTGGATCAAGTTCTGATTTGTAGCGCATGTGCCCTTGCAGACTACCCCGACAGTGCCATCGTCGTCCGCACCCAAGTCTACAACCAGTGGGCGCAGGCTGTGGTCATCTCTCGGCTTGGTGGTGTTGGGGAAATCGCCAGTGTCAACTTCAGGACCCGCAACGGCGGCTTCACTCGCGGTGCCCGGGTGAACGGGTAAGGCGCCTGTTTCTTTTGCTTTCTTCTTTTGATTTGCGTTCTTTGTTCTCTTTGTCTTCTTTGTTTTGCTTGCTCGAATGAGCTACGCAAATCGATCGGCAGTGTCAACTTCAGATCACGCAACGGCGGCTTCAATCACGGCGCTCGGGTGAACGGGTGGGGCGCCTGGCTGATTTTTGGATTCGCTTTCTTTCCTTTCTTCTTTCTTTATTTTTGTTTTGCTTTATTCAGCTTTGTTTTCAATGCGTATACCCTAAGTAAAACCGAGCTCGTTAGCTGGAGCATCACTTCGGGACTACTCGCGATAAGATTCTCGGTGAAAGGCATTGACATGTTGAGCCTCCGAGAGCCACGAAAGCCATAAGCAGAAAACGTTCGTTCTCTCCTGGCGAGGGCATAAAAAGTGGCAACAGAAAAAAAGATAAGGCGTTAGCCTGCATCGATCTGCTTTTTCTGTCTGCATCGAGAAGAGAAAGAAAGGGGGCGTTTCTGCTTGCATCCAAAATAAAGAAAAGAGGGGCTTTTCAGAGGGGGTATATCTGCTTGTATCGATAAAAACGGAAGAGGGGCTATTCTGCTTGCATATATAAAAGGACGAAGAGGGGCTATTTTTGCGGCGCGCTTCCGAGTTCTGTTTTAACTGCTTGCATCCAAAAGAAAGGAAAGATCGGGGCGTTTCTGCTTGCATCTAAAACCGAAGGAAGAGGGGCTTTTTCTGCGGCGCTTAATTTTCCTAGTTCTGCTCGCATCCAAAAGAACTGAAAGAGGGGCTTGCCTGCTTGCAATAAAAAAAGGGCGTTTCTGCTCGCATCCAAAGGAGAAGAAAGATGGGGATATGTAACAAATGACGTCATTTGTACAAGAAGCTGACGCGGACGCAGGTGGGGCGTGTGGTGGATGTTCGTCTCGTGCCTGGCCGCTAAAGCCCTGGTTACCACCCAAGCACGGTTCTTGGCCGTGTAACCAATTCCTAACGAGCCCATAATCATCCCAGAACCATCCCATAACCATCCATGGTTAAGGACCAAACTACTGTTTGTGGACGCAGGTGGGGCACGTGGTGGATGCCCACCGAGGGCCTGGCCGGAAAGGGCGGGGTGGACCTTCTCATCACTCTGAAGGACGGCAACTCAATGTCGACCACGGACTACCCCCTCGCGGACGCCAGTCAGTGGAGAACCGGCGCCATCTACAACATCTACAAAAATGTCCCGGCTGCGTGCTAAGCGGGGGGCACAGGCGCGTTTTTGGCTCTTAACCAAGGATAGTTCTGAGCTGGTTGTAGGTCGGTTCGAAAGTGGTTATACGTCCAGAAACCAGACTTGGGCGGTATCATCAGCCTCGGAACAAGGTTAAATCCGGGTTGATTGTCCGATAACCTAAGGGTCAAGTCCGGTCGCCTAAGCAAACCGACTGGTTTAGTGCCACGATGTCTTGGGGGGGCCGGCCTCTGCAGTCGCGGGGGAATCACCTTCAGCATTTGTCTTTTACTATCACGCGGAAGCTACGGATTATGTAGACTAGGTTTCCAGTCTGGTGTTGCGTACGTCGACCTGTGTCATCCACGGTCTGACGAATTACAAAGACTCGTAGCCAAAGCGCAGCGGCGGGTTTACTTGCGAAGCAGCTAGAAAAGGCAGTGTGACGGAAGGTAGTGTGACTTCCCCCTAGGCTCTGCAGACGCGGAGTTTGGCTGGGTGAAGGTACTGCAGTACTGTCAAAAGGGCGGGCCAGTCGGTCTTGTCATCTAATTGTTACGAGCTTGATGTAGTCTAGGGCGCAGCGTATGAAGCGGCTTCCTCTCTGCAGCAGCGGGGTCGGGAAATCAAATTAAATAGGTAATTGCGCTTTCAAGGAGGGGAGGTCAGTCGGTCTCGCCCACTGACGTTTAATTCCTGAGTAGCTCATTGGTACAAGCAGCTCGGCGCAGAAACCTGTCTTGTTTCTGGAAACAATCATTACAGTAGGAGCTTATTTGAAAAGGCTGTAAGTGCTAAGTCAGACAACCTAGCACGGTTGAAAGCAAGTACATTGCCTGTTTGTAGGAACATTTGCAATGACCGACCATTGACGGACAGACGTCTCTCAATAAGATTCCTGTATTTTTTTGAACACTTACTCGTAGAATCGGAGAAGAAAGTTTGAATCCAAACAGCTTTGAGAGACAGAAGTCTCCTCAGTGTCAGGCCTCGATACGTTGTACGTTGACACAGAAAGAACACATTGTACGTCTTTTATTTGATCGACGCCATGTTTAATTCTCAGTGCCCTCACTTTGCCCTTCGATGGTAACTTCTAGTTTATTAACGCCCTTAGCCGCCATGGCCGTGGAGCACGGTCTTCGGCAGACCCGGGATAGTTTGTTGACTCTGCAGCTTGCTACGGCTGCAAGTCATTCGATCACTGGTTGCATTTCGCTAAATATCAACATGCTCATGCTGATACCAACGGGGAGTTTTCACACTGTTGCATTGATATTGTACAAACTCTGATATACTATGAGCTTGTACATCGCCATGCTATGAGCGGATGTTTCTGGACGGTAGGCTCTGTTTGCGAAGCTCGAGTCACCGTCTGAGTCGGCTGAAAGTTGGGTGGCACAGCTTACGCGATGCACGATCGAAAATATTGAAATTTGTAGAATAGTGAGGTAGAGTGTACTAGCTTGAGGGGAAACTGCAGACAATCACGAATCACAGGACGCTTCTAGGTAGCGCCGACTGCGCCGCCCCTTTCCCTCGATGCAATCGTAGAGGAACATTTTGTCAAACTCAACACATGGTATTGAAAATGAAAGGCCGATCCTGAGCCATCTTTTCCATTCTATCCACTCTTAACCGGTTCAACACTTCTGATCAGGTAACATCTTGACCCTACTCACCGGAACCGCTTCGGTGATAATAGATACCAAGTACAATCACGCAGCGGTCACCCCCACTCTAGGAATCTACTACTACGAGCCACAGTAGACCTTGTTCGCCCTCCACTGTAACACGACCCACAATTACAAGATCACGAACCATTCGGCGAGCGGAATGACTTCCAACAGAAAGTACACTGGGGCGACGGGCCATTCCCAGTTCACGCGTGATATTATGCGGACTCGGACGGCGGGGTCTTCAAGTTGTACATGGCGTGGCAGAGTTTTCCGCAAACCACGGGGTCTCTCAAGGTCAAAGAACCGAACGCTTTGGCCCTTATCTCGCGATGCTTATGGCTGGTTATGGGATCGGATGGTGTCGAAAGTGGTTATATATCCAGTGTGACAGATTTTGGCGGTAACCAAGACGAAAGCCCGGTTAATTGTCAAACAACCGAAGGCCCGAAGCAAATAATCAGCGTGGTTAGCAACCCCAACTTCCTGTGGAACTCTGCCCTAGTTCTGCGTCTGCTGTGGACAGGTGTCACAAATGCACCTTTTTTCTAGGCCTTCGTCTTGGTTCTTGAGAAGGTATCTAGATGGATAACTGCTGTGCGACGTCTACGTTCGATTGCAGCCGATAAGAGACTCGCGAACGCGCACGGAACCCAAAAGGTCTCAGCTTTCAAAGTCAATCCCACCTTGTTCCTACCAAGTCTCACTCCGGCGTTGCAGATCGTCATCTACAGTCTTGACAACAACACCTTCCTCGAATACATCCCCTTGGGCATAGCTCGGGACACGTCCAAGTTTCAGTATCTGGATCCCATCTGGATGTGGCGGCAGATCTGAATCTGGGGGTGATTTCCGTAGCGGCCGGCACTGCGGTCGCTACTTACACTGGGTTGGGCGGCTTTTTAAGTCGCTGAGCGACTCCAAATACATCATATGTAACTTTCTGTTTTTTTTGGTTCACTGCTCGGATCAATGTTCGATCCGCAGAGAGCAGTTTGGTTCGTGATGCCCCAGTGGGCTTTTCGGTATACGTAAGCCATTTAACTTCGTGCGTCATCTGTCGGCTACAATCGCGTTCTCTCCTCAAGTTTCTACTCAAAGTACTGCGTTCTTATCCAAAACCAGCTCCGTTATGATGCCCATTGGGCTCTACTATTCGCTAAGCAACTTCCAAGCATCAACTGTCAACCGAACTTATTCTCTCTTCCTTACTGCTCGAACTTCTGCTCATTCTACTTCTGCTCAGTCTGCTTCATGATTACAAGCGCTCCGATTGCGAAGTTTTACCGGATCTATTTCCCCTGCATTCGGAATATCTTTTCCCCATCGCCAGCTGGTTTGATGATTCATCTGCCACAATAAAACCGTTCCGTAGCGTCGTGCTCTGCACGTATAAGGACGTTCAGACTTTTCTTCGCAGCTATAACATCACTCATCGGACGGCCAGCTGGTTCGATCTGCCGGCAGACAAAACATACCGATGCGTCGTCCTCTGAGTCACGTTTCTAATCGGACGGCCAGATTTATCTTTGCAGCTATAACATTTGTGATCGGACGGCCAGCTGGTTCGTCCTGCCGGCAGACAAGACGTTCCGGAGCGTCGTCCTCAATACCGTCCAGGGGAAAGTGTACTTCTTCACGAGTGACAAGGCGAACCCCGTCTACACGAGCTCCACGTGGCTGAGGCAAGCCAAAACCACTGTAACTTTACGGAACTGGACCAAAGCGGGTCTCGAAATGACTTCAGGACTGCACTGGCAGGTTCCACTGGAACTTCCCTGTTCTCAAACCGTCTTCGTTGGAAAGCCACGTTTATTTTTGAGATCGCCTCGCAGCGGACTTTATGCTCCACCCTGCGCGGTCTGAATACTGGGTCGGAAATGATTACGACGAGCTTCTTCAAGACTGGATGCGACATTTCGGCATTGTTCGTTTCACGTATTCGGCTTACTTTGTTAGGGCTAGGCCAAAAGCGCTCAAAAGCAGCTGCGCCAGCACTATCAAGGTTTTCCAAGTAAAGTCCTGAAACGCACCCTTATTTTAACGTACGTTTTTAAGTGTTCTTTCTAATATTTTGCCCATCACTAGTTCTCTGTGCTTGCGTTGGCCTTTCTTCTGTTTTGACCGCAGTCAGAAGGATTCTAAGGACCACCCTTGATGACCAGAAATGTTTCTCTAATGCAGCTACTCAGTAGTTCTACAGTCACGTCAAGTGTGCTGGCTCGTAGAACCTCGGCGGGGACTAACTTGACGTGTTACACCGGCGCCTTCTCGACAACAACGGACCTCGGATTGCTTGTCCACGACTCGACGGCCAATGGCGTTGGGCTCATGTCGGTTTCGGGAAGTGAGCTTGCTTCCGTATGCGCATTTGATCCCACTAGAATAGGGTACGTGCGTTGCTCAGAGGTTGAACGTAGAAGTCTCGCAGGTCATACTTCCCGTGCAAAAGGTTTTTCAAGACCCTGTGAACGGGTCGAATTTAATCGCGGCAGAGTTTTCGAACAGCGTCACGAAATTCTTTGCCTCATCTTCAATCGTTGGAGACTGAGTCCAAGGATTGCAAAAAAACTTTGTCGGAAGTCCACAAAGCGCTCTCGGCGTCTTTCACAAGGAGATTGGTACTTCGTCTGATCTGATTGAAACTTTTCTTTTTCCAAACGGGCTACGGATTCGTCTGGTGCAAAGCATGTAACTAAGTTTGAAGCAGGGTTGGGTAAATGAAAGCACTAATGATCTGACCAAACACGGTTTTTGCTACCCAAGCCTTTTCAGGGTTTGACGTGCTCTCGACAGAAGAATGGGCCCCGATACCTGCTTAACTCTGTCTCTAACGTGTTGAGGTAATCTTGACAGGAATTGGCTCATTCGGTGCTTAACCCAAGGATTGCTTTTCTAAGTAACCGCTCTGTGTGAACAGCGGCGTGCGGAAGCCGCACCAGTCCTTGCGGGATGCAAATGACCGTCTGTTCCTCCTACTGCGTCTGCTTCCCGCTGGGTGCGACACCTGTCAACCAGCTGTCAAGATCGTGTGTCAACTACGCTCTTCTTCCCTACGCAACGTTCACTGCCGATCAGTGTCCGCTGCCACCCCCACCCCCCTTTGTCCCCAGACCCCCGCCCCACGGCTCTTTCCCCCCCGGTCCAAGCTCCGCCAAATCTCCCCCCCCGGCGGAAAAACCGCCGCCTCTGACAAACCCGCCCCCGGAGCAACCCCTTCTGATAAACCCACCTCCTCTGAACCATCCGCCGCCAACATAACCTCCTCCCGATCTGCCCCCCCCAATCAGCTGGCCGCCTCCCCACCAGCCCCCTTCAGTCAATCAGCCCCCACCCGAACAACCCGCTCCAGTCGGTTTGCCCTCCCCCGACCACCCCCTCCTACAACTCAATCCCCCCCGACCAGGCCCCTCCATTTCAGCCCCCAACCGAATTATCTCCCCCAATTCTCCGTCCCCCCCCGACCCGGCTCCTCCTGTTCAGCCCCCTCCGGACCAGGGCCCCCCAGGGGAACAGCCATTGCCGAAGCAACCGCCGCCAGGGGCGCTACCTGCCGACCAGCCTCCCCCGGTCTCTTTTCCACCACCCGAGCAACCTCCTCCAAACGAACCCCCTCCAGTTGACCCGAACCCCCCTTCCCCGGTTACCAGCCCTCCTTTTTATCAACCACCGCCTCCCGCTTTCCCGCCTGCTCTAGATCCCCCCTCGAGGGAGTCTCCAATGAACCAGCCGCCTCCCGATTCAGCACCTCCCCCACAAGTTCCCCAGTCCCCCTCCTCACAGCCGCCGCCGAACCTGCCCCCTCCTGCGAGTCCTCCGCCAAGTTCCCCCCCTTTGTTGAGAGCCACCCCGCACCCCCCCCACGCGCCTTGCGACCCGAACTTCGTCGACTCGTGCAGCGGCAGCGGCAACGGCACCGCCATCGCGATTACAATCTCGACGCGCGGGCGAAACGTGGATCTCCTGGAGGGGGGGTCCATCACGCCCGCATTCAAGACCCCCGTTGCGGTCACGACGCTCGACTACGGAAGCACCCTCCCGGCAGTTTTTGCGGACGTCGTATCGGCGCTTTTTCTAACGCAAACCCCAGCACACGGTTCCGGTTCCGCCCTGTTTTTCGCGCCGGACTCCGGCACGCTGGCGTTTCCGGTGTCCGGCCCGGCGCCCAGCGGATCGGTTTACATAAACGCGGGAGCGCAGCCGATGGGCTGCTCCGCGAGCGACGCGTGGCAAGCGGCAACTGGCGCGGCCCCGCGCGCGTGCGCATGGCGCGCGACTCTAGCGGGCCTCTACGCGCGGACCTATGATGCAATCGCCAACACGGCTGCCACGTCAGCTTTGCACCCGGAGAACGGGGGGGGGATCTACGGCTTGTACCTCTATAAGAAAGCGGAAATCGTGGTACCGAGCAGTACCGTAACGGTGGATCCCCCCAACGCGCCAGCATTCAGGGGGTAGCTGGGAGCATGGGATTGGGGGGGGTGTTTGGATACTCGGCGTCCGTCTCAGGAACCGAGGGCGTCACCGTGTTTGCTGCGTATTTCCCTAGCGAGATACAGCCCGTCTACACGACAAGTTCCGTTTCCGGTGGCACCGGTTCTCACCGGAAGCTGCTGTCAACGGCAGAAACGGTGACCGCGCCAGTTGCGTCCGGCCTCTTGTATCTGAAGCAAGGAAACCGGACGTATGCAACCGACAGCGGATCGCTTATGTTCGGGGGCGTAAGCGATGCGGGCGTGGACTACTTCTTCCTGTCCGCTTTCCAATACAACGACTGCACGCCGCAACAGCTGGACAAAGTCGCGGCCTTCGACGGATGCCTTTGGACGGAAGTTCCGCACAGTATCACGCTCGCTTATAACGTCACGGCGCAGACTATGGTGCTGGGGAACCTAGGAAACGGCACGTGGAACAGCGTCTACATGCTCTTGAGCGTTTCCTCCCTTCCCTTGCCGCCTCCGCCCCCACCTCTAGTTGTTACGTCGTCCCCCCCAGCGGTGAAAACGTCTGGAAGCGGCGACGGATTCTTAGTGCCGTTGTTAGGAGCTCTTGCGGGCGCATCGATAGTGAGTAGGTTAGTGTTTCTGGTAGCTAGCGGGAAGTGTAAATCACAAAGGGACTGACTAGAGTTCTTAGTAGCTTTCCTGATTTCTTGATAGAGATCGAGACCAGCTTGCAGAGCGACCAGTTGTTGTAAACGTGCGTTCAAATTCAGCCTAGCTTCAGCGGAGTGGCTGAATCTGCGGCACGCTACGGAGTTCCTCTCACCCCTCTCAAGCCTGAGCATATGTGGTGATAGACGACCAAGCGGATTATGAAACTAGGGTGCGTCGATAACGAGGCCTTTAAGGAGCACTCAAAAAGCTGAGCGGACAGCATATGTTCCACTTAGATGCTCCAGATAAGATTAGTAGTAGTAGTACAGATGGTGAAGAGGTATGATACTCTTAGCTCAAAGACATCGTGATGGTCCGGGGGTTAGTCTGCAGGCGCTGCGCACGAGTTGGCCGGCCAGGTTAGATATTGCTCGCGACTTAATTATGTTGTTAACTCGACAGATGACAGGTAGCAATCGTGTAAAGTACAATCATAGACCTTTCTCTAATAAAGTTTGAGAGTACGGTAGCTAGAACGCGGCGAAAGAAATCAGGTTCGACCGGGCGATGCAAATCCATAAACTACTGCATCCATATTTCTGATTGTTCTACTTCAAGCTGCAAACGGATTTCCGTACGTCACCCTTTCGCTCGTTTCCCCACCGCCCCTCAAGCCTGAAGAAGCTAAATCTATTATATTGAAAGCGCGAGCCGGGCACAGAAGGCTCGCGCTCCTATGAGTACGTGACTATAGAAAACTAGCTGTTCACCTAATGACGGTTCGATGTATCCCACGATGACCAGATTAATTTGCAAAGATGGCCGGTCCGACACCTGCCATGGCCCGGGAACGAATTAGCTAGAACGACATTGGTGTATGACATCTTAAGCGCGGACGCCGTGCTGAGGCTGAGTGACGAGTTGCCTCCGAATTGCATGAAGGCATGTACTAGCTTAGCTTACCTCACGCAATCAAGCTCAAGAGTGGGCGGCTGGGAGTTTCATGCATGTACAACTAATTCATTCTTGCACGGTAGTCTTTTGTAACTCGTAGCGTGACGGTTCCGGTCACATGCATTGATTGCATATAACGGCATTACGGGTGTATGATACTACGGCTCTTGCACAAATCATAAACACCTGTTCAATTCGTTAACCGTAAACATGTGATGATGACACTGACATCAAAGATACTACTGCTCTTATCTTGGGCGCGTGGATCTAGTATCATATATTATAGTGTGTACTTCGCCGTCTCTGCAATATCATCGAGTTGTCCACATCATGCATTAGTGCAACTTCATGGCGTGATGGCGTTGTTGAGGGCGGCACTCAGTGGCCGGGCGGCATACTACATAAAAGAATCGATTGAATATTGCTTACCATCATTCCTTTGTACGGCAAGTATTCAGTATGCATGTTGCTGTGTGTAACCAGGCTTGCGTTTGAACCAGGCTTACAAGACGCTTGTTCGAAATCAATCATGGACAGGCAGTTCATGCTGGCGCGCATGACCGGGCCGTAATTCTCAGTACTGAAATCTGCAATACTGAGCAAACTTGATGATCAACCCACTGAATCAGACTCAGAAGAACGAATGATGTAACATTCAAGCTAACAATCATTGCAATCAAAAAAGCAAGCGCCAAAAATATCCGGTGAGCATGCCAGAGTCACAATTGCTCAACTCTCAACAAAGCGCTGCCACTTCTTATTTATAGTATGTATTGCAGCGCGGCGGTCAAAATAAATATGTTCAGATGTCGGACTCGATCACAGGAAAGCTCTCTAGAGAAACCGACACACAACTCAATCTACCTCGCAACCACGCAGTGTGCGTCCTGAAGCTAAGTCGATTCTTCTGGCCCATTGTTCAAAAGCGTTGAATTGCTTGGTTCCTGGACTACGTCAATCCTACTGTCTCGTGTCCTGACACACAAACTCTGAATGAAGCCGAGCCTATCAAATCTGGGAATCTAAAGTGGGTGCTACTACGGGTTGTTCCGAGGTTGCAAAACATCGATCTCGTGTGCCCCCTGCACGTTGAGTAGCTCTGACCGAAAGCTTGGCGGGATCGTGACAAGCGCCTGGATGCGCTTGGGGATCTTGAACTTCATTGTCGCGCTGTTGACCACCGGCTTCGGGAACGACTTCGACCAGTTGTGCGGGGCGCACGGGTAGTCGGCAAAACAGGTGGCGCGCACGGCCTCCCGGACGAGGCGCTGCGTCACAACGATCGAGAAGCTTTGGAACGGGGTGGGGAGCGTTTGGGCCTGCGTTGGGGACGGGGGTGATGGGTTTGCCGGGGTCGGCGCGGGCGACGTGGGGGGGGGGTGGGGCGAGCCGCTCGCAGAGGGGGGAGTCGCCGGGCTCTGGGGAGATGGGGGCGCGGCCGATTGGAGGGCGGGAGCGGGCGGCGGGGCCTCTCTGACGCACTTCCACGACCCCCGCATCTGGGTTTGGTAGGTGCGCCCCGCCCCGGCTAGGTCGCGGTCCTCCGCAACCCGGCCGCGGCTGATAAGGGCTCCCCTCGTATACGGTTCGTTGCCATTCACGACGAGGAGTCGGCTCTCCGACCCGACGCGGGGCCGCCGGCTCTGGTCGCTTATCTTGAAGCCCGCGACGACTTCTTGATCCCGCTTGACTTCCCGCCCTCGACCAAGCTTGCCCCCGCACGTGCCCAGAAGGGAGACGTATTTTATGAAGCCGAAAGTGCCGCCGGCAGTGGTCTCTGACGTGGCAGTCGCCCCAAAGGTGACCTTCTCCATCTCCGTGATCAGGTTGAAGTCGTAGTTTCGCCGCCGGGCAGTCGTGGACGTGTCGTCAGCCGGGCCAAACGTGACGTCGACTTTCGTCTGCACAAACCCGCACTCCCTTTCCTCGTTGACGAACTCGCCAGGGTCGGTTTCGGCGACCAGCGTCGCCTCCACAACGGCAGCCCCCGTGTCTACGTCCCGGCCAATTTCCAATTCCACCTCGCAGAATATGCTGGCCTCCTGCTGACTCGAGCCCTGCCCCGATCCAACGGGGTTTCCGACCGAGTTAATCACCTTCTGAAACTCAACCTTGACTTTCAGCTTGTCGGCCGCTCCTTGGGCCCCGCTTCCGGGCACTCCCCCCGGGCTGCCTCCCCCGGTTCCTCCCCCGCTCCCCACCCCGACACCCTGGCTCGAGCCCGATTGACTGTTGGGGGAACTAGCCAGTACAGACCGCTGAACCGAGCTCACTTGGTTTCCGCCCGCAAAAAAGAAGCGCAAGACGCCCCCCCACGAGAGATCGAGCACCTGCAGAGGAACCACCCCTGGACCCACTTCACCCGTGGCCCCCCCGCCTATTCCGTCCCCTCTCGGAACCCCCCGTTCCGATTCCGCCCCATCTCCCCGTGCGGCGCGGTTGTCCCTGGGCCTGCCTGTGCCGCTGCGGAGCAACGCAATCAGCTGAAATCCGGCCTCCTTCCACCCCGCCGCAGATGCTCGGTACGCGTCTGGGGTGACACGTGGCAGCTCGCGGATGCGCACGTCGCCGTGGCTGTCGGCCAAGTCGACCTCCGCCGCTTCCACGCCGACTCCGATCGCCTGCGCCATATGGTCGGCCGACAGGAAGCGCGCAGTGTAAGGGTAGCGCTCGTCGGAGGACGCCTGCGGATTCATCGGGATTTTGAGGTCGGGCTGCTCTTTTGTGCCAATCGTGCGCAAGTTCGCAAAAGAAGGATCATTCCGAAAGCGGTTTAGTGTACATTCAAATTCCTAGAATTCAAGACTTCAAAAGAGCATGTCGGTGCGTTTTCGGGATGATATACAAACTCCCTGCCTTAGAAGTACGGAAAGCCAGCAGCAACAACAGTACAAGGCGGGGGGATCCCAAGAACTTCGACGCAAATATTGCACACCAGGTTTTTTGTGACGTCTGTACGAAAATATCAAGGGAAAGGGTTCAAAAATACAGAATCCCTGCAGTTTTTCAAGACCGGAGAGTAGGAGGAACTACAGTGCGTCGATGTGCATGAATCAGGGTTCTCGCGAAAATGAATAAGCATGTTTTTTTCCAACCTTTACGGGCAGTACTATGCTCTACTGGTGCTATAATAGAAAGAGAACGAGAGACGACTGAGCTGCTGTCCGGGAAAACTCTCTTTGATTTTCTCTGCACGCGCTAATCAAATGCCTCGATTGACACTTCTCTCCTCTCGCTTAAACCGACGGAGGTCAGCCCTGACCTCAGGATATGGATGGTTAAACGCAAGTACTGACCCTAAAGTAGCTTGTTTTACTGGAAATCCGCTTTGAGAGTAAGATGAAAGACCGTCTACGGTGAAGTGGCGACACATCAAGGACCAGAAAGGAAGAGCCACCTTACCTTTCCCCAGGCCAGCACCAGCCTGTCGACGTTCGACAGCGACTCCACCAGGCCGTACTTGAGGGCGACCTGAACGAGGGCCGCAGCAACAGGGATGCCCGCAGAGTCCACCCGATCGACATGGTCCGCTGCCAGCATGTCGCTCAGCTTTCGGACTACGTGCTGGGCCGTTTCCTGCAAGCATAAGATGTGATTGAGTTCGAATGACGGACTGGCGAGCGAGAAGAGAAAGGCTGCCTAAGTTCGTGTCGCCGGGTTCGACTAGCATCTCCCTTTCCCCTAAAACCCTAAAACCCTAAACTTAGGGGGCTAAGTTTGGATCCATTAAGTACTCAGTACCTTTACGAGAGGAGGATTATTTGAAGCCACAAAGGATGCAGGCCTTGCTCTGAACTGCAAACCTTGAGAACCGAAATTTGTCAAGCCCAATCCTAAAGCGGGCAAGAGGTTTGGAGCTGAAAAGCGCCGGTCAGAAGATAAGGGCAAACCTTTAGCAGAGTTTCGGGCTGGAACACATGAAGTAGATGAAAGACAAGATGATGCAGCTATAATTAAAATACTTGTACTCAGTGACGTGTAGAAAAATGCTACACTAGGATCTTACAAATGCGGAAAAGCAAAGGACTGTCCGCGAAGCGTACCTGTTCGAGGGCCTGACTATGAAGAGCAACCGCGGCCCTCATGCGGTCGTCAAAATCAACTTTCTTCGAGGCCAGGACTGTCAGTAAGTCCTCGGTCGCCCTCGTCTGGTGAGACAATATCTCCTCTGCGGGATAGAGAGGACCGCTTTAGTGCACAGTGTATTATCTGGACCTTATTGACAAGAGAACGCGAAAAACAAAAGTTGATAAAATAACAAAACATATATTGACGAAAGTTGATCGGAGGCGACAGATTTGTCCCAAAGCTAAGGTATCACAGTGTCCGGAAGCTGCTCCAGATGCCAATGGAAGTGCAGCTTCGCGTAGCAAACAAGAGACGACATATTCAAAAGGTCAACGGACTGTTTAGATTTCAGCATCAAGGCTTCAAGCAGTGGTTCGAATTTCTGGGCTTGAAAAGATGCATTTTCGACGTTCCTGTGTGTACAACAAACAGCCTCGTGTTAACAGAGCTGCCGCCTGACTTTCGTTTCGTATCTCGAAGCCTTTGGACAAGAGAAACGCCACACGAAGAGCTTGAGAGAAATACTAGCACGTAAACTCACCGTATACGTACGGTTCGCACACAGCCGCCACCGGAAACACCAACCAACGAGCCGAGTCGTCGGAGCCTTCAGGGAGCGCTTGAATACGGCTGTGGCGAGCAACTGCCTCTGCAGGCGATACGGTCGCCCCTTCTGCCTGCTCAAAACTTGGCGGCTGATTCCGATGCATCGATTGGAGCTGCTCTGCAAAGCCCCCGTTGGTTTTCCTCGCGCCTCCTTTCCTGACCCCGCCCGCCTGCCCAGTCGGGCCCCCCGCACCTTTCGGCTTGCCCCTTTCCGCGACCGCCCCCTCCTGCCCGGTTGAAAACACGGAGAGTCCATGTTCGCTCCCGCTCCCAAGCGCGTCCCCTGCCCCAGATAGAGTTCCAGTCACTGCTCCTTCGCCCCTTTCGCCAATTCCGTCCCCCTGCCCGTTTGAAACCTCGGCAATGTCTTCCTTTTCCTCCGCCCCAAAGGCGTTCCCTAAGGCCCCCGCCCCTTCCTGCTCGCCCATCTCGCCGACCGCCCCCCCCTGCCCAAGAACAGTTGCGGCAGTTGCTTGCCCGCTTGTTCTCCAAGGCGCATGCCTTCCGGCCGGCGAGCTCCTGGCAGACTCTCGCTCGCCATTCTTCTCCACCCCGCGCCCCTGCCTTGGTGAGATGTCGATGGCCCTTCGCTCGCCCCTCTCCCCTACTGGCACGTTCAATTGCCCGGTTGACACCTTAGCGGCCTGCTCGCTTTCTTCAAAGACCGCTCCCCCGACTTTGTGTGCAGCCCACCCCCTGATGACCTTTTCTAGCAGTTTCCCGCCAACTGGCATGTACATCCAACTCTGCTCTTCAAAGCAGCTGCTAACTCGTTGTTGTATAAGCGGGTCGAGGGGGCCTGCCAATGTTAACATGTTCTCTGCTAGGTCCTCAAGAACAACCCCAAACGACAGCCTATTCAAGGCCTCGCACGCTTCGGTCCGCACGTTTATAAACGAGGAGGCCATCTGCTTCAAAATAACCACGAGCAGCGACGGGGTCGTCTTCCTTGAGCGTCCCAACATACCTAGAAAGGAGCAAAGCCTTTCTGATTCACCTTGATCATTCAGGTAATCCAAAATTCCTCCCACGAACTCCGGTGGCACACCACCGGCTTGCCAAAGTGTACAAATAAAGGCCAAAACAGCCCGGTTTCGTGTAGTTGTCGCCGCCTCTTTCAATGCCTCCAAGGCTTCTGGCGAAAGCGCACGTGTGAAGGGGATGTTCTTGACAGCTGATGTGATTTCATCTCCCAGTTGTCGCACCAGGGCCTTCAAAACGTCGCCAGTCAGAGCTTCTTCCCCAACCATCACGAGGGCTTCTAGCACTTTCGAGAGCACGCTCGGATACGCATCCAGTCCCCAATCCAGTGAAGCCAATACCTCGGCAAGCCAGTTTACCCTCTGAAGAACACTTTCCCGTCCTCCGTTCAAAACATATTCAATGGCTGCCCCTTGCGCTTGCATGGCTACCTCCTGCGCTTGCTTGGCAGCTTCCTTTCGGTCCGCTTCAATGCGCCGAAGAGCAGCTGTATGCCTTTCCACTATTTCCTTGGCGCTTGCTTGGATAGCGTAATCTGATGACTTTCGCAAGGATGCCACAGCTTCCATCATTTCAGGCACAGCCGCCTTCTCCTCCAACGCCTCAAAAGAGCGCAAAGCTGCTCTTTGCACGGAAACATTGCTGGACTGCACCAACAAGCTTGCAAGCCCCTTCAGCACATTCGGTGTTGCTGCTTGCTTTCCAAGGGCAACTACGCAGTTCAAGGCAGCGCTTTGCACGTTCGGGTCGAGGGACTCGGCTAGCTGCACCTCGAGCCCTTGGACAATCAGAGGGATTGCTGCGGAACACCCAACTTCCCCGACAGCTCTCAATACTGCCAATAAAATCCGCGGCATCGGAGGAGATTCTAGCATTGAAGCCCCAAGAACAGCCAGCGCTTTTTGGAATTGGGGCAGACCACGGTCGCCGTCAAGCATCTCACTCAACAGACTTCCAAGGGCCTTGATAGATGACCGGCGTAGGTGCTCCTCCGGTGAGTGAGCCGTAAACTCGATAAGGGCATCTAAAATGTTGGATTCCGCGGCAGCTGGCCCCATGCACCTGACGGCTTTGACGGCTGCTACTTGCTGCTCCACTTGCGCGCCGGTGGTCATGAGCTTCAGCAACTCTTTGAGCAGTTTAGAAGATGCCGCCTCCCGTGCCAGGGGAGGGTACCGCAAAATGTCGAGTGCGGTTTGCCACTCCCAGCTCTCTGGTGATGCCACTGACGCCACGAGGGCATCCAAAAGCTCTTCAAACCCCTCAAATTCAGAGATTGGTTTTCCAGCACGAAATTGTACAATCACAATAATACCACTCTCAAGCAGCCCTTTGCTACCTTCGAAAATAATTTGAAGAGCCTCGAGTGCATTTCTGCGCTCTCTTTCTTGAGAACCTACCACCAGCAGCGCAAGCTCTTTTATCAGGCCTTCGACGATTGTGGTCTTTGACTTGTCTAAAGCGCCGAAAGTGAACGCTCTGACCGCCATCCTGATTTCTGCGTTTGACAAAGACGACCTTACATCCTCCACCACTTTGACCAGATCCGGATCCGCGGTAGTTGGGTTCTCTGTCACTACCACTGGCACACTCGTGGCTCCCAGCTGGGTAGCTGTTCTTGACAATAGATTTGGCTTGCTGATTGGGGAGGGCTCCCTCTCTGGCGGCTTCTTTTGCAAGTCCCCTTCCTTTACAGAAGGTGACTGATAGGTGGCGCTCTTGGGTGCGCTCTCGGTTGTGTCCATGGGTGTAGCGAGTATATCACGCCGGTTTGAGAAGAGAGATGTATCCTGCATTCACATAAAAGCGGGAATCAGAGAGGGCCTGTAGTACTTTCATAGCAAACTTGGAAAAATGACGACCGATCCAAAAAAATTAATAGAATCATGAGCAACGAAAGGAGACGTGATCAAACAAGCTTGGGAACGAGACCAGTCTTCGATCGGTTTTCCACTCTCGAGCACTCCAAAGATTAAGAAAATCCCCATGCGTCATTGAAACTGCCAAGAGAGACACGAGCGACTCCATGAGGGGGATACTGGGGCTTGCAGACCTGTACAGGCCTTGAGCAATCAGGAAGACGGCATCTGGATCAATGTAATTAAAGTGACATTGATTTTTGGGGCAGAACGTTCATAGCCATAAACGACACAGCCCACAATAGTGTACGAGTTTCTCCTCATTCACGTACACAGGGGAATAGGAAGCAAACTCAAGTATGTCTCGACCTTGCTGATGAAGCGCGCAATCTTACTTCAAACAGAGATTGACGTCGTGTATTCTACGGTACTAAGCTTCGATGTCTCTAGGGAAAAGAATTGGTGCGGGAGTATGTTGAATCACTTCAAGAATTGATTCTTAAGACAAGGCCTGTTGCATGGGTCAGGACAAACAGCAAGGGTCAGCCGTGCCGGCACAAGCAAAGAAGCATCCGAATAGCGCTCGAGAGAATGAGCTGTGGTACATACCGTGGCACTGCAAATGAAGTTTGGCTGTGCTCGCCTACTCGGACACAGCAGCCTAGTATGAAGTTTACGGGTTCTTCAGGTAGGCTGCAAATACGAAAAAGGTATGCACTCAATGATTTCCGAACAGCTGCGCTCCGGCACAAAGTTCAGGCGTTCCAGGACTTGAAGTGCGCATTATGCTCTCGACTTTTCTGCCTCCAATATTGTGCTTGCGAATTCTGAAAGGAGAGCTTAGCACAGGGCACCGATCAACGCTTTGGGTACGGTCCTCAACCACGGGAAATAAGCTGAGGAACTAACGAGAGAAAGCGGTTGCCGTCTGAAACAAGATTGCACCACCAACCTATGAGAAGCTTGGCGTCACGATTGGTCAATATCGGCCTTTTAGACTGAGCATTCTGAAACACGGATTGCATGAGACAAAAGCCGTCAAAAATAGGCCGGTTGTAGGCTTCGAACGGTCGACTTGGAGAAGTGTCAAGGTGCGAGGCCGGGCAATACGGGTCCTCTTTGATTCGCTTCTAGCCCTTCTGCAGACCTGCTCCCCTCTCGAAACCTTTGTGCTCGTGCGTCGCAACAAATACGTCCAAGTTGACCCATCTTCTACGTACCACTTGATGACCGTGAGTTCCCAGGCATGACGACACAAAAGGAACAGAAAATGGGAGAAGCAAAGCTTCCTGGAAGAAAGAACTCAATCAATGTAGGGTCGAAATTGGCGGAAGGTGACGAGATATCTTAGGCTGCACTCTCGACTAAGTTTTGATCGTTGCAAACCAGCACGTATCTCGATGCAACAACTCTCACTTGGACCACGTTGTAGATCCGTAGAATAGTTTGTGCCCGAGACTGATGCACGACAGAACGGAAAGGCGAGTCTTTGATCAGATGCGGGATGAGTGAGTAGAATTGAAAGCGAGAGCCTCTCTATTCACTCGTCCGTGTGAGTGAAGGCACCATAAGCCCGACTATCTCAGGCAGAGACAGAGGTCCAAAAATATTTAGCAGAGATCACAACCGCAGTCGTCGAAAACAAAGGGCCTTGCGGAAAGTAAGGATGCAACCTGTATGATTGAACACCGAGTGCCCAGTCGTCTGGCTCAGCTTACATAGGGCTCAAAAGCTCCTTCGTTTGGGGACTGGAGGATGCTACCAAAGTCCTACTAGTGATTGCAAATATGTTTTAAGAGGCACGAGAAACCGATCAAGCACACCAATGCAGAAGAACTGTCTTGCTTGCAGAAGAGTTTGTTCCTTTCTGCTGTTCGATTAATGAGCGTACCTTGACAAGGGTTTAGTCATCAAGTTCAAGCGACTCACCTTTCAACCATTTGATAGTCCGCTTGACAGCATTGGATAATACCACAGCTCTGGAGCTCCCTTATAGGCGCAGTTCAGATAAGTAGGCAAACGAACAGAATACGCCCAGGTTTCCCTGCATCATAATAAAGTTGCGCTGTGTTAAGTGATAATTCAAGACTCATTCTGTTGCTTTTCACAGCGTCGTAGGTGAATCCCTCCATGCCTGCCTTTTTGAAGCAGAACTTCCATTAATACAAGCAGAACTACAAGGGACTCCAGCATTACTGACGGCGGCAAGAAGTACATACGGGGCGCGGTCGGATTCAGGATTGTTTGGGCAGAGGCAGCTCCTGTTAGGGCTGACGTTTTTTGTTGCGCGACCCAGCCTTCCAGGAAGGACGCACTATCACATAAGGAAGTACACCGTCCACGTGCTTGGCAGGCACTTTAGGCTAAGAGATCATTCAGACCCCTCATGGAGCGGAGTCGTACTGAGAGCTGGCAGGGTTTGAGTCCAAAACTTCCAAGTACAAGAGAGCACAATCTATTTCAGAGGAGGATGTTGTGTGCCTGCACGACTACAAGAAAGGCCCCTTGTTTGGAGCCTGATGAAGTATGAAAGGTTGCTGAAAAGCCTTTTTCTACCGACAGGATTCAGGAAAAGCTTTCAACGTTGAGAACTTTAATTGTGTCTTTGTCGGCCCTGCCCATGATTCTGACAGCACCCTTGAGCTCCAGCGGCGGGCGTGAAACAATCCCAATGACTGCGTGTTCCCCTTCTGCCAGCATTCCGTAGTTTCAACTGGCATCCACTAATGGCTGCTATTTGGATGATTGGCAGACTCTGAAGGTCCAGAGAGGGGGTCAGACCAAGCTTCAGAGTCAAGCACCTTGAACCTTCAAACAAAACTTAGGTGCCTGCAATTGCTCCTCTAATCATTGTTCCTCGAGGAAGGACAATTGAACAGGTGATAGTCAAGGGATTACTCTGCACAGGACAGCACAACCTCATCCTTCACAGCATCCGAGGAAGTATTTGAGAAGCATTTGGACAGGCCAAAAGGCTTGTGATTAGGGTTACAATAAAGCTGTCACCTTCACACACTAACAGACTTCTTCATATTTGCAACTCAATATTCAAACGTTGTTTCCAAAAGAATCTGCATCACTCTTCTCAAAGGCCTCCTCTTTGGTCAAGGTTTGAAAAGCTGACACAATTGACAATAAATCCAAACAATCTGCAAGGCGCGTGTGCTAACTGGCCAACATTGCATGCAAGTTTGAAAGCCCGAGCAGTGTAACAGCCACACTATACGTGGTAAAATCAGGGTGGCAATCACCCACTTGCAATTCCACATTGCCAGCTTTCGAAGCGTCAGCCGACACAGAGCTAGAGCCTTGTATCTACTCTTGGACGGGTAGACGGTATCCTTGAAGCAACTTCCCTTGAAACAACACCGGAAGATTCTAAGAATGAGACTGTAAACCCAATGTGGTCCATGCTTACCTGAAACCCTAGAAGCCACAATCAATGCTGGCAACTCCCCAAAAGCCTTCAACGCAGTAGCCAATCCCTGCAATGCAATAGTGGCACTCCGCCTGCTGAGACAAATCTGCTGCTAAATGGATTGTAGAACTTTTGCACTAGCTACTCTGCATGATTTCCTTGATAAGAGCAGCAAAAACTAGCTTGGCTCTCAGTTTTGCTGACATGAATAAATGCAAGAATGTTCGAAAAGACTCCTTGTCAAACTCTGGAATTCCCTGACTATATATTGGAGACTGTGAGAAATTCTGCCCCTTCATTCGCATACGTAGAGCTTTTCCAGATGCAGGTGCAGCATAGCTTGGCAAGGTACATTGACGTGATAAATGCGCAGCAGCGCAGTAATGTGTCTACAGCATAGGTTTTCTAAAAGCACTATCAACTTCCCAGGCCTCTAGATTTGTCACTGCCTGGCTGAGTCTGAAAATGCATTCAAGTCAGCCCTTGGCTCAGAGCAGCTTTTGCAACTTTCCTTGCAGGTGGTACCAGGCTGAATGTTTGGAGAGAAGCCCCTTCTCATTGACGTGGTGGAATAAAGACCCTGATCGATCTTTGCCAAAGCTGTTTTGCATGAAGTAGCAAAGATATCGGGTGAGAGCCAAACATAAGTTGGTTATCTTGTAGGTGGAAACGCCCATTGAATCTAAGGTAAGCCTGCAAAGCTGGCATAAAGGAAGAACTGTGATCGGCCGATGCTGAGGAGCAAAACGAAAGAAGAACGCGCCGGGGGCAGCACGTTCGAATCCAGCTGCCATGAAATTACTCACCTTGCAGTGCCTTGTTGATAAGCGCAGGCTTGTTTTTCTCATATGCAAACCAACACTGAGTCATTAAGCAGTGGTCGAGACGCTTCACTGTTGTCATGGATCAATAGCGCTAGCTGCTTCCGAAGCTCAGCACTCGGCGCAGCAAACACGTCTGTCTGACATGGTCAGTGACAACTTGTTGAACATTGCTGGAGACTCAAGAATTTAGAAGTGTGCTCAAAGCTGGACAGTACGGTATCACCACGGGTCCACGACAACGAAAGTCGGCCTCGCGATTTAATGCACCCGTGTGCCGCCTGTTTTACAGTCGGCTTCGGCTCTGCCAGGAAAATGTCAACACGCGGTACGTACCAGACAATGAGCCGGGCATATGGATGCTAAAGATGAATTCCCGATTGGAGAACGGTAAGTTCTCTGGTCCAGACCTTTACGTACCGGCGTGCTAACCCGATATTTTTAACAGGCATACCGTAACCCGTTACCCGTATACGGTATGATATTAAAGGCTGGGCCGACCAGGCGTGATTACCACGAACCGGTGTCATGTGTGGACCTAGCCGGCTGGAGCGAGGGTCTAACCGGTGCCGAAGGCACCCAGCCGGCTGGGCTCCGGCTGGAAAACCGGCGTGAGTGACCGGGTACCGGCTGAGATTGGCTGAGAG